GGAGGGGCTGAGAAGGCGGGGAAAGAGGATGAGAAGAAGGAGGAGAAGACGGTGTTTGAGTTGAAGTTGGAGGGTTTTGATGCTGCGAATAAGATTAAGGTGATTAAGGAGGTGAGGGCGTTTACTGATTTGGGGCTGAAGGAGGCCAAGGAGTTGGTGGAGAAGGCGCCAGCGGTGATCAAGGGCGGGGTTACGAAGGAGGAGGGGCTGGCCATTGTGGAGAAGATGAAGGCGGTCGGGGCGAAGGTTGTGTTGGAGTGAATCTGATGATGGTGATGACAAGAAACATATAGAGGTAATTTGTGCTTCTTTTGGTTTTTGGAATTTTGGGTTGGTTTCTCTTTGCTTTGAAGCAACGAAGCTTAATTTTGGGTTGATTTCTAATGTGCATCTTAGGTTGTCAAATTTGATTATTTGTCGCATGATTGGTTGTATGTTTAAGCTTTCCATAGCTTGATGATTAGATAGATTGACTGTTAGTAGGCGGTATCTGTAATTGTTGAGTACCTTATGAAATTACTAGTAGATAGGAACTTTTTGTTATAATTTATATGCTCTGATTAACTTCATCCGTAAGTTCTTTCATTTTATTGCTGATAAGTAGGAATTGAATTGAGTTAAAAGAGTGAATCTTTATTAATTTCTTCTGCTACACTTTTTCGGAGTCATGGACTTTCGGTTATGGTTTAGAACTTTATGAATTTCTTTGTCTACTTAAATGATGGAAGTGTTAGCTAGATTGCTTTTCATTTAACATTTATTTATTTTAAATTGCTGTTTTGGTTTATTAAGCCTCTCTCTGTAAGTCTGAATTTTATATTTGGTTTGTATGTCTGTGTGTCTTACTATGTATGTTTGCTTGCCTTTGCTGCTGGAGTTTATGCACATATGATCATGTCAATATAATATTTTAACCATCAGTTTCCTCTGTTTGTTATGAAAATGAGCTTTTTCAGCAAGCCTTTCTGTAGTAGGAACTAAGGACTAAGTTTGGGTCTTTGTTAATTCTGTTTTGTGATTTATGTGAATAGGGAACTATTAGAAAAGAGGAGGCAATCGTCGCAAGCATGACTGGTGGAGATCCTTGAAGATCTTTGCTATGGGCTTCATATCTTCTTTTTTATTTCCATTGCCCAACAGGTTAAAATTTTGGTGGTGAGAAAAGAAATTTGTAACTGTAAGGGTATTCTTCTTTTAAAATATAACTAATCTTTTTCCCCCTCATTGAATAACTTGTGAGATGGAACTGTGAACTCTCCAAATTGTCCATCTTCTTTTCTTCATTGTTTTTTGTATTGAAGAAAAACGAATAAGATGACACGAGGCCACCTGTTTTTGCATGATATTCACCTCATTCTCTTATACATTACCGGTGAATTTGTTTGTATTTGTCATCCTATCTGGTGTTTCATTTCTATTTCAGAAGCTTATGCCAAGTGATGCTTTTATCTCCACCCACCTTTGCAAATTGACGCTGACTGGATTATTCCTTAGATGAAAGTTCTTCTTTAAAATAAAAAGTACCTTTTAAGCTGGACAACTTGCTCTGTATGTGCTCACAGCTATCATCAATTTCTTTGCTATTTAAGATAGAAGAGATGGAGAGGGAGAGGGAGAGGGAGAGGGAAAGGGAGAGGGAGCTAGGCTACCTATTAATAGTATCCAACATGCGGATACTATCAACCCAATTTTAAAAATTGGAACTCAAAGATGAAAATCCGAACCGGTAGATGTGATCTACTACACATGAACTAGTTAGAAATAAAATTTCAAATGTTTTCAATGTGTTTTGAATTATATATTAAGAGGCGAAAATTAACCAACTTCATGAAAATTTTGAAACATTGATTTTGACGATATATTTTGCATGGATATAAATGTGTAGGCAGTCTCAGACACTTGAGCTCCGGCTATTGTTGTGTTCATATTCATTTTTCTGGAACTCATGGATACTTATCATCTTTTATGGCTCTCAAGGTAAAAACTAACGTTGCGGGTACCCAAGCATGTGACACTAACCAGTTTCGAAATTTTTAGTACTCAAAACTCTTATCTTTACTTCAGCATTCCTTAGTGCTTTTCAGATTTGGTATCTTTGCGGCCTACTACTACTTGCTAGGGTTCAATGTCATAGTTAACTCAGACTTAGTCTGAATATGCAAGTAGTTGATAGATAAGAACACAATTTCGTAGCTTTTATGTGATCACTGATTTACAAATTCTGGATTGGATGTTGGTTTTGTTTCATGAAAAGTGCACGTATCTTAATACTTAGTGACATAACATTTTGTTCTTATTTCTTGATCATGCTTGTCTTTTACTTCAATATGAGAGCTGTGCTTTTTGATGTTAACTGATTCATGCAATAACCCAGACCACTGAGTAAATTTGTGTGACATGAAATGCAATTCAAGTCTCTTCATGCAGCAGTCCTCTAAAGCCTTGAATTAGGCAAAGTGGTGTCCTTGTTCTACAGGCAAGCTAAAACAAGCAGCATGCACTAGGCAAAAGAATCTTTTATCTCAATCTTAAACTCAAGTTATGCCAAAAGACATGGATCTTCCTCTTTCTTGTTTTCCCCCTTCTTATTGTTCATCCTTCAGTTTTGCCTCATCTCAAGGCTTCCATCCTTACTCTGTCAACACCTAAACTGTCTGCCTCCAGTGCCAACCATGGAGAAGGTGGTCCTTTCTTTTCTTGTGTCTCGAACTTGGATTAATTTTCCTCCTACAATGACTGGGTCTAAAATTTCTATGGAGTGACAATTTTAACTATATTTTTTTGAATAGTGCCATAGCAGCCCGCAAACTTCTTCTTTTGTCTCGTTGCTGAACCATTTTATCCAATTTCGAAATCTCATCTTCTCCGGTGATAGAATCAAATATATATAAATTGCCTGGTGATGGAGTAGTTGCTATTTTATTCCAGCCATTTCTTTATTTCTTTATTTTTCTCATGCTGATCCAAGTGATGGTGATCTTGGGTGTTCTCTCTTTGAATTTGAACCTTGCGGATCTCTCTTTGAAATTTTCCAACATCCATTCTGAATTACAACTTGACCCATTAATGTCTTTTTTATAATTTCTGAACCCTTCTAATTTCTGTTTCTGTTGATGCCAAGTGCAGTTTATTGCTATAACATGTTAATCGGTGGTTTTATTTAAACATAATACACATATTTATGTGTTTTGACTTTTTGCTGTTTCAGTTTGTTTATACCTCAATTATAATAGTACTCTTCTGTTCTGTTCAACATGTGCTATGTTCCTCTTCTAACTTAGGCTAAATGGCATTTAAATACCCTATTGTTTCACCACCTTTACACTTAAATACCCTAAGTTGTAAAAAATAACACTTTAATACCCAATCTTGTCAAAATGTTACTATTTTAATACCCTAAGTTGTAAAAAATGGCACGTTAGTATCTTCTGTTAGTTGCATGTCAAAATATTCCTAGGAATATTCTCATGTGAATAGCACATGACATTTTTGTAATTATATGGACCTCTTTTTTTCTCATATTTATCAATATACCCACCCTTTATCTTTTTAACAGTGTTTAACATATGCTAACAGTAGACACCTTAGGGTATTTATGCTACTTTTTACGACTTAAGGTACTTGAAGTGTAAAAGTGGTGAAACAATAGGGTATTTACGTGTCATTTAGCCTCAAACTTATGATTCTAATTCTGAAGATTTATGAAATCTTCAGTAGTGAGACCTAGAAGAGGTGATGTGTCAATATACATATATATGAATTTTAAAAGATAAAATGGAGAATTGAGACCTAGAAAGGACCCGGGGGCTTTTGAATGGATGTTCCTCCAAATTTTGTAAGAGAGGGATGATCTGCTAGGAGTCCTGTCTTGGGAGATCTTGGAAGGAATTTCCTGTATCTTTTCATAGTGTGATTGTTAATTATATTTTCTGAAAATTGTTTTTTTACTGATAGACCACAATAGATAGAAAATTTCTGCTACTGTTCATCTAAGGATTTCATCTCTGCCTAAAATTATGGCATTTCTAGTACAATTTTAATATTCTTCATGCTATTTCCCTTGTCTCCATCAGCGCTATGGTTCTGAGACGCCTAAGTAAGTTGTTCATTTTCTTTAATTATCTTGTTCTGTTTTAGTTCATGCTTTTTGTGCATTCTGTGTGCTTCTGGTTATGTTTATTTATATTAAGTGTATACTGCATTTAAATTCAATGTCGTTCCCTTTACTATAGGTTCATCGGAATGAATTTCTTCAGTTTTTTTTCATACTTTAGCGAGCTCTTAATTTTTGGTGATCACTTGTTCTTCGATCCTCCTAAGTTTGAATGCTCCCTGTAGCCTGTCAAATTTTCTTTCCCAATCTTGAAGTTGCATAAGTTTTAGATGATAGTTTTGATGACTGGTAAGCTTTCAATGCGGTTGACTACAGGAAATGTATCTGGTATAAGTTATTGGTCGTTTCCAGTATCATTTGTATCCTTAAGATCACTAATTTATTTAGAAAATTTTGACTATATTGTCTTGCAAGATCTCCATGTAATGCTTCTCATTGTTGGTCTTCAATAACAAAGAATGGATCTGATTTTGTTCTTGTTAACCTAGGAAAGCGTTACAAATTTACATTTTGCAGGTATCTGATTCTATTGTGTTTGAGAATGATACTTTGTGATCCACCACTGAAAGTAGCAGATACTGACCATTAACAGTTGGGCTAAGTTCGATGTGAGTACCATGTAAAATCTTGAAAATTTGGTATTGTGGATTTTGCTGGAACTGATGCCGCGAGTCAAATCAGTATAAAAGAGCCAACCTTTATACATGAGACGTCAAAGCCTTATATGACAAAATCAAAATGCATCAAGGATTAGCTCATGATATTTCAATCAAACGGTTATGCAAGCAGTTGCCACAAGTGAGAGCTGGTGATGATGTTTGGCCAGGAGCGTGGTTGTTGTTATCGTACTTCAAGCAAAGGTTCTGTAGGTTAGTGTAATTTACCTAAAAGATACTGGGAGTTTTCTGCAGGTTTAGTGTGATTTGCAAGTTCATAAGAGTTTACTGCAAAATGCTGAAAGTTCATGGCGGTTTAGTGTGATTTACCCTTAATTCTAACTAAAGAATTATAACATGATGTATACCTTATTTTTATGTTGTACATGCTCAGGTAATGGATCCTCCGTCCTCGTGTGATTTACCCTTAATTCTAACTAAAGATCTTTTGTTTACAGTTGAGAGAACTTCTTCGCTCCGAGTATTCAAATCACAGCTTGCAATTCTCTTAGAAAAATGATACAGTCACACCCTCGGGTACACCTCCGGCCACCCCCTAGCTACAGCGTAGGGGTCCCACTTGCGATTTCTAAAAAATCGCAAGTGGGGCCCTCTGCACTGTAGCTAGAGGGGGGGGGTTGGCCGGAGGTGTGCCTGTAGCATTCTCTTACCATTGTGGCTCAAGTAAGTTTTAGAAGTTACAAGTACTATCTTATATTTACTTCAACTGTTCATGGTACAAATTTATGCAATAGGAATTAAACTTATGATGTTTACCATTAATTTAGTGAATGGTAATGATTTATTTTCAGTACGATCTGAAAATAGGCAATTATATAAAGAATGAATAATTTTTCAAAACAGGCCGATTTAGCTTTTTATTTTTCAAAATCGACCGTTTTTTTTTATTTATCAAAATCGACCCGGTTTTGTGATTAGCATGTTAATTACTATCCTAAATAGTCGGGGTTGTTAACCCCGACTATTTAGGATAGTGTTAAACCCTAATTAAAGGCCTTAAACCCTAAAAATTAATGTCCTAATTAGTCGGGGTTGGCAACCCCGACTATTTAGGATAGTGATTAGCCTGTTAATCAGGGTCGATTTTGATAAATAAATAAAAAACGGTCGATTTTAAAAAATAAAAAACGAAATCGGCCTATTTTGAAAAATTGTTCTATAAAGAATACATATCTTAGTATTGAATCTCTTGAACCGCCACTCGCCTAACATACATACGCGATTTTTTCCCCTTTTTTCTGAGAGTAAAAGATAGGTCGCACGTTTCCACTTGTTTCATCCATAATGTTAAGGAAACAAATTATACTGAAAGCTTGCAATTTCTCAACAAATTATGCTAACAGAATTATTATTTGCGCTTATTTATTTGTTTTTTTTTTTGTGGTGCGATAGATGACCAAAGAGCGGAAAATTGGAGGAATGCGTCTCAAAAAAAGAAAAAGAAAGTTTGAGTGGATTTCGCACTGATGTAAAGATTGAATAGATTTTTCAAGATCGCATTGAGATCGAAGATAAAAGAGTTGCGTGCAGTTTATTTGAAATAAAATTATGAGGAGATTACTCAAAATTTTGTTACTTTCTTCAAAGAGCTAGCGTGATAGAAATCTCCCACTTTGGCATGTTTATGTAATAATTTTTTGCCAGAACAATTATCGGAACAGAGAATTTAACTACAGATGCAAATGGTTTTAAAACCGTTGGCTCCTGTGATTCCCCCTCTTTTTTTTTGGCCCAAAGAAACTTCAATATGAAAAGTTGAATAATGTACAATAATGACCAAAGTTCTATTATATAATTATGTGTACAAAACTGGGGTTCAATGCAAATTTCCTCTCAGCGTACCGGTGACCTCTATACGCAGGCCTAAGATCAGGTGGATTTCCTGGAGTTCAGACGTTGCGATCACTTTGAAGTGTTAACCTTCACTCTTAGTGAGGCTTGGGTATGTAGCCATCGACAGCAAAGTTTCGGGTAGCTGCAGGAAGTGCAACGCGGATACCATCGAGTTCAGGCCTTGCGATTACCTGGCAACCGAAGGGGAATTCTATAATAAATTGTCACAAGCAGGGTCTTTAAGAACTAAGGTCAAGGCAAAGGTTAAAATATGAAACATGAACAAAAAATCTGCAAATTTGTCCGAATTTCTTTAAAACAGTCTTTATCAATATTCTTGCCGTTGGCGAGTCGGTGACAATTGTCCTGGATAACTCTTGACTTATGGTTTTTGGATAGCTTATGAACAAATAGAGAGAATTTGTAGAATTACTACGAAGACGACAAAAAAAACAAGAACAATGTGAAGTTTTATTTTGGTGATTTGGAGCCATTAATGAATGAGGGACTTACGTTTCCGTGAGGCCAAATGCCAGGTCTAACATGTCGTTTTCTTCGTCGGTCGGTTCTTCTAGTTTGTTGTAGTACTCCGCATCCTAAAATCAGAAGAAATAGTAAGAGAATGCGTCAAAGATGTTATATGGCACCAAAGATTTACAACTAAATATAAACTTTTTTTTCAAGGTTTAGGTTTACCCAGTGAATACCGTTACAATCACATGGCAAGTAGAACAGGCGAGAGAACCCTCACATGCTCCTGACATCAGAATATCCAAAGCTATATAAAATATGAAGCTCGAAAATTAGAGTTATCTATCTCGAAAGGATCCACGCTTTGAATTTTTTAGGCAGAGAATAAACTACTAACCTTCTAGCTCTATGTTATTCTGGTGAGCTGCTTCCAACATCGACATTCCAATAGGAACCTTGATGAGCTTTTCCTCACCATCTTTGTTAACAAAAGTTACAGATATTCTGGACAATATAAAGGAGAAAAGATAAAACCGTGAAAAATGTGTTTAAAGATGCTAACTAAGAATATGAGATGCTATAATAAGCCTATAATCATGTGTAATGTGATTAGCCCATCTTTTCAAAGAACTAAAGATCTTCTCTATTTTTTATTAAGCACATGCAAAGAAAATGAAGGCTCACGCAATGGACTGGATAAGTAACTCCATAAAAAAAAAGTAAATACCAGATTCAGACTTCAAGATATATGCAGTGTTCATCAGAATTTCTTAAACTTCCTAAGCAATATTGAATAAACTGTTGCAACGCATAGAAGGCATGAAGTTTGAAATAATAAACAATTAAGTAGGATAACTCTCTAATTACTCAATGACGAAAACTTACGTTTCTTTCTGTCCAAAATCTTCCTCCCCTTGTGTTTTTCCAGTGTTGGTAGTACAAAAGAGCCGATTCTGCTGTGGAAGTAGCATGACAAAAGTTTTAACTATTAGAATACCACAACTTCTAAAGAACCAATAAACACTACATTTGGTAACTTCACATGGTTCTCTCTAAGACTAGATCGTAAACCACACAACTACATCTACTAGGATTTATAAGAAACACCAATAGTTAATGAAATGAATTTATGACATAAAAGAAATTACTCCAGGAAGAACATCAAACATATCCTACAGCTTAAAGAACCAAGGACAACATGTACAATAACATTGAAAAGCTAATGTGCAATAGTGTTGGAGGAAGTGGAGACCAAATTTATCTTTAAAAACCAAGAGCCTCTGAGGCAAAATTACAAACAATACCAATGAAATGTATCCTTACAGTTCTACCTGCCACTTTTATAAAATCAATGTAGATCACGTCACCAAACAGAAATAGTGAAGTCTAGAAAACATGTCCTTGAATGTAAAGGAATCAAGTAATTGGTAAACAGATAGCTAGACCATGGAATTGGTCTATTAAATATCTCGGCTGCTAATATGGCATTTTTTCTAACCAAAATTTTTGAAGGTTTTACAACAGGGTTTAAGTTGAGATATTGCAAGAGAATTTGTTTGTCTAGTGAGTCCTCTGGCTTAAGAATGTAAAATAGTTCAACAAAAGGGGGAGTGTAATACAAAGACAAAAATTTGCAGGCTTTCAAATAGCTGATAGGACATAAACGAGAAACTTATAGAGCACAGGGAAAACAAGAAATCAAGGTACGAAATAAATAGAAAGTAAAGGGTCATTTCTAAGGATAAAGATAAACTTTACTTTTAGTAGATTTAACTTGATTGATTAGAAAGGCATTGAGCATAGAAGAACATTTTGGGATAAGAAAAAATTAGGATTTAGCATGATAAAAATGAATTTATTACATGAAGTAAAGATGCTCCTCATCTCTTTTCTATGTGCAAGTATGTTAATACTTAATAGGCCTTTGGACTGGCAAAAACCACGGTCCACGGGAGGGAGGACAACAATGGGAGATGGAGAAAGCCCAAAAAAGAAGAATGCCTCCTTAGAAAGAACTTCTCATATAAGGAAACAGTAAGATGTGGTTTATTAACAGCTTTATAAATCCAAGGGAGCACGTACACTAAAAGAAGCCTGCAACAGTGCAACACTTATTTTTTTCTCGTGACCTTTCTACCATTGCATATGATATGGGAGATCTAAACCATGACAACTCATTTACTTGAACTGGAAGGCTGATACAGCTTAAGCTTAAATCATCTGGTTAGATATGTTAAAGTATGAAGTGTGATGGTTAACAATTTGTCCCCATTTTAGGACAATTACTAATTATGAAAATTGAATGAGCATGTCAATTTTCTACTCTTATGCTGCAAAAAAAATGATAACATCTGTTTCCACGTCAGCTCTAGCTTTTAGGTGCAACACAAGTGAATTAGAACTGTGCTAACCTGTTTACATGTACATGTGGATAAATAGAAACACGTCATACTCTGGACATGGCTCCAATCTGTCAAATCTATAAGCCTTATGCTAATTCAAATCGAAAACTTCATTCAATCCATCAATCTATAACCCTGGTGCTGAAAATTCAAATCGAACTCTGCTTTCACGAACAGTAAGAGTTATAAATCCAAACTACATCCAATGCATGTAAATTACTAGAAACCTTTTATTGAAGTTCTGCGGAGAGAGATAATCCGTCTTAGAGGGTGTATGAGAGGGCTTCTTTTTGAAGCTTAAAAGCCAATTTGACTCTTGATGGCTTACAGATTTTATGATAAAATTGTTATACAAATCATTTGGATAAAATTGTCATTCGTTTGGTCAAATCTAGCTTATTTAGATGAGCTTATAAGCTGGTTTTTCAAAAAGTTGGGGCACCCTGACTTTTTTAAATGAGCTTAAAAGCTGAAGCGTATATGGGATGTTACCAAACACATAGATATGGAAAAGCCAACTTAGAAGCAACTTTAACCATGTTGCGCGCAGCGGAAATTTCGGCAGCACTTCAACAGCACAACAAGAGAGTCAGATCGCAATAAGAATTCCCGTCTCACCAAGGAGACAAGAATCTGAAGCGGATATCTCAACAATGTGAGATATCGGCTCTTCCTCTCATCAGTTCTAGGACTGACCAGTCGAGGGATCCTAAAAGCTATTACAAATCACACAAAAACAGTACAACCAATTTTTACGTGGTTCGGCAAATTGCCTACGTCCACGGGGCAAGGAAGGGGGAGATCCACTAATAGAGGGAGAGAATACAACTAGGGTTTACAATCACTCACAATCTAAACCCTCAAACAAACTCTCAAATCCCTCACAAATATCTCTCTACAAAAGATGCACAAAAGCCTTGCACACCCACTGCTTCTCCTCTGTGTTCTTCACCTGCAGCCGCAAAAAAAAAATCCTACACGAAACCCTCTCTGCTTTTTCTCCGCAGCCGAAACAAATTAAAATCTTCGCTCTGCCGAAAAGAACACCCGCAGCGAACAAAAAACCCAATCCTTGCGTTCAAAATCAGCCACCAAAAAGAACCACTGTAGCCGAAACAAATCTTCTGCACTTGCACCTGGTCCGCAGCCACACAAAACCTCCACGCTCCAGTTGCTTTTCCCAGCCGCAAAAGGAACTCCTTGCTCTCTGCCAAAAGAATAGCAGCCGCACAAAACCAATTAACCTCCTTTGCACGCCCACCTAGGCTAAAGATCACATTATTATTTATAGCATCTCAACTTGGGCTTCGGGTACACGAAACGAAATCAAACAGAGCCTTGTACCCGAACGAAATCAAAAGTGAAGTTCACGTGGGTGTGACCCCCACAAAACCACCACGAACGAAACCACAATTCTCCACCTCGGTGAAGTTTTCCCAAAACTGAGCCGACACCAAAGCAACCAAATGTCCCACTTGTTGTGTCTAGTACGAACTCAACCCACAACAAGTCGAGAACCCAAACGAGAGTCCAAAACAATCTCACCCCATCAACTAATCCAAACCGACTGCATCAAACATGACTGCCTACGTATCCTCTTGCCCAAGGAATCAAGCCGAACGTAGTTCATCCAAATGGCCGCCAACGGCCTCAACAATTACGAATGTGCAACAGGGGGGAGATCTACTAATAGAGGGAGAGAATACAACTAGGGTTTACAATCACTCAATCTAAACCCTCAAACAAACTTTCAAATCCCTCACACAAATATCTCTCTACAAAAGATGCACAAAAGCCTTGCACACCCACTGCTTCTCCTCTGTGTTCTTCACCTGCAGCCGCAAAAAAAAAATCCTACACGAAACCCTCTCTGCTTTTTCTCCGCAGCCGAAACAAATTAAAATCTTCGCTCTGCCGAAAAGAACACCCGCAGCGAACAAAAAACCCAATCCTTGCGTTCAAAATCAGCCACCAAAAAGAACCACTGTAGCCGAAACAAATCTTCTGCACTTGCACCTGGTCCGCAGCCACACAAAACCTCCACGCTCCAGTTTTTTTCCCCAGCCGCAAAAGGAACTCCTTGCTCTCTGCCAAAAGAATAGCAGCCGCACAAAACCAATTAACCTCCTTTGCACGCCCACCTAGGCTAAAGATCACATTATTATTTATAGCATCTCAACTTGGGCTTCGGGTACACGAAACGAAATCAAACAGAGCCTTGTACCCGAACGAAATCAAAAGTGAAGTTCACGTGGGTGTGACCCCCACAAAACCACCACGAACGAAACCACAATTCTCCACCTCGGTGAAGTTTTCCCAAAACTGAGCCGACACCAAAGCAACCAAATGTCCCACTTGTTGTGTCCAGTACGAACGCAACCCACAACAAGTCGAGAACCCGAACGAGAGTCCAAACAATCTCACCCCCATCAAAATCACCCTCTTGCCAAAGGAATCAAGCCGAACGTAGTTTACCCAAATGGCCGCCAACGGCCTCAACAATTACGAATGTGCAACAAGTTTCGACAATGATCAAACTTGTTGCTCGGAACCACCTTAGTGAGCATATCTGCCGGATTATCCTTCGTGTGGACTTTCACAATTTCCACATCACCATCTTCAAGAACATTCCGAACGAAGTGATAACGAACATCAATGTGCTTCGTCCGCGCATGAAAAACCTGATTCTTCGCCAAATAGATAGCACTCATGCTATCACAATGAATAGTGACGGATCTCTGCGATATACCAAGTTCCTCCAAGAGTCCTCGAAGCCAAATAGCCTCCTTCACAACCTTCGTAACTGCCATATACTCTGCCTCCGTCGTAGACAAAGCCACCGTTGACTGTAAGGTGCATCTCCAACACACCGGCGCACGAGTCAAAGTAAACACATACCCCGTAGTAGACCGACGCTTATCCAAATCGCCGGCATAATCCGAATCAACATAACCAATGCATAACTGCCCACCTGTAGTGTCCCGCTCATAAACCAAATCCGAATCAACATAACCAATGCATAACTGCCCACCTGTAGTGTCCCGCTCATAAACCAAACCAACATTGGGCGTACCTCGAATGTACCTCAAAATCCATTTCACGGCGTCCCAATGACTCACTCCTGGATCGTGCATGTATCTTGAAACCATGCTCACCGCCTGTGATAAATTCGGTCTCGTACATACCATCGCGTACATCAAGCTCCCAACCACACTCGCATATGGAGTCTTCGACATCAACTCTCTATCTTCAACTGACTTCGGTGAAAGACCAGCTGAAAGCGTCAAATGGGCTCCCAATGGTACACTAACTGGCTTCGTATCCATGCTAACATAGAATCGCTGTAGAACCTTCTTCAAATAAACCACCTGTGTCAAACAAATTCTGCCCTTCTTCTTGTCTCTGCCGATCTCCATTCCCAAAATATGTTTGGCCTCACCCAAGTCCTTCATCTCAAACTCATTTGAAAGTTGAACTTTCAACTCAACTATAGCCGACCTGAAAGTAGAGGCAACTAACATGTCATCGACATAGAGCAACAAATAAATGTACGCACCTCCTTTCAACTTGCGAAAATATACGCAAGGATCAAACTGGCTCCGAGTGTACGAATGACCGATCATAAAACCATCGAATCGCCTATACCACTGTCGAGGAGACTGCTTCAAACCGTATAGCGATTTCTTCAATCTGCAAACCAACTTATCTTTCCCTGCAGCTCGGAATCCCAATGGCTGAGTCATATATATTTCTTCATCAAGATCACCATGAAGAAATGCTGTCTTCACATCCAACTGATCTAACTCCAATCCATACTGTGCCACCAAAGCTAGCAAAATCCGAATCGAAGAATGCTTCACCACCGGAGAGAAAACCTCATTATAGTCAATACCTTCCTCCTGTGCATAGCCCTTCGCAACCAACCTAGCCTTGAACCTCACTGGAGTGCCCTCAATGCCCTCCTTCTTCGTGTACACCCACTTGCACCCAATCGCCTTCCGCCCCTTTGGAAACTCAACAAGCTCCCATGTATCGTTCTTATGAAGAGATTCATCTCCTCCTGCATAGCCACCTGCCACAAATCAGCTTCCGAACTCTGCTCGGCCTCTCTGAAAGTAGTAGGTATCATCTCATCGATACTCTCCACCGAAAGTGCATATGCAACTGTGTCGGCATACCGTGCTGGCATCTGTATGTTTCTCCTCTGTCTCCGAACCGTAATAGGATCCTGAACCTGAGCCGTCGGTTCCTGATCCTGCACATCAGTACCCGTATCCTCCGTATCACCGTCGTGCTCGCCTGACGTCACCTCAGTCGGCACTCTAATGGATATTGTACCATCTGGACAATGTGGAGCTGCATCGATCTCCACCACCTGCGATATCTCTTCCGTCGGGTCTCTCTCCACCTGATGAGAGCTGGGAAGCTTTAAGATAGAAGCCTCATCAAATGTGACGTCCCTACTCAGCACAATCTTCTTATCAACTGGATCCCAAAGCTTGTATCCCTTAACACCACGCTTGAATCCTACAAATATGGCCTTCCTAGCTCGAGGTTCCAATTTATCAGTTCTAACATGATAATATGCAGGGCACCCGAATACCTTGAGCTGGTCATAGTCATGTGCTGGCTTTCCCGACCACATCTCCATAGGGGTTTTCCCCTCAATCGCAGATGAAGGCAGCCTATTAATGAGGTGGCTCGCATATGTAAGTGCCTCAGCCCAAAAGATCTTCTCCAAACCACTCTGCGACAATAAGCATCGGATCTTCTCCAGTAAAGACCGATTCAACCTCTCTGCCACCCCATTTTGCTGCGGTGTATGACTAACTGTGAAGTGTCTCTCTATGCCCTCGTCTCGACATAGCTGCTGAAAGGGGTCAGAAGTATACTCACCACCGTTGTCGGATCGCAACGTCTTGATCTTTCTCCCAGTCTGCAGTTCCAATCTCTTCTTCCACTCCACAAACAAATCTAGGACTTCACTCTTCTTCGTCATGGTGTACACCCAACAACGCCTAGAATAGTCATCTACAAAAATGACGAACCAATGTCGACCACCAAGTGATGCAGTCTTGGTGGGACCCCAAACGTCTGTGTGCACGTAATCCAGGATTCCCCTCGTCTGATGAATGGCAGTCCCAAACTTCACATTCGTCTTCTTGCCAAGAACACAGTGCTCACAGAACTCAATCTTCCCACTCTTGGCTCCCTTCAATAGCCCCTGCTTGCACAATGTCTACAGTGACTTTTCACCTGTGTGCCCCAATCTATAGTGCCAAAGTCTGCTCATGTTCGCTTCTGAAATAGCCGAAGCAACCTGGCCAATCTCGGTGCTTCCCTTCAGATAATACAAATTCCGATTGCGGACTCCTTTCATCACCACCAATGATCCCTTAGTAACTTTCGCTACAGCGTTTTTGAAAGTCACCTTGAATCCCTTCGCCTCCAAAGCTCCAACTGGGATAAGATTTTTCTTCAGTTGAGGAACAAATCTTACCTCCTTCAACTCACGGACTATTCCATCGTGCATCCTAATCCGCACGGTACCTATCCCACAAACGCCACAGGATTGATCATTTCCCATGACAACAACGCCCCCGTCGACTTTCTCAAAAGATGCAAACCAGTCTCGCCTAGGGGTCACATGAAAGGTAGCGCCGGAATCAAGCATCCAATCTGATGCATCCACATGGTTCACCTCCGGAGTAATCAGTAGAGAAAAGCACGAATCATCGGAATCATCGCCTTTCGCAATATTCACCTCATTGGCTTTCGGGCCCTTTTTTTTGCCATTCTCTTTCTCCTTGAGCTTCGGGCAGTCTCTCTTCCAATGTCCCTGCTCCTTGCAGAATGCACATTGGTTATTTGTTAATTAGTGGTGGCCTCTAGACTTTGACCTCCCTCTGTTACCACCTTTCGGATATGGGCTTCTGCCTCTCGTCGACAAGGCCTCGCCTGAAGTGCTAGCACGGGAAGTCTCCTTGTCCTTCCTCCTCAAATCATAATTGGTCAAAGCGTTAGTCACTTCACTATAGCTGATAGAAGATCTCCCGTTCAACAAAGTGAGCACGAAGGTATCATACTCCTCATCCGGTAAGGAGCCCAACAAAATAATCGCCTTGTACTCATCCGATATCTTCTCATCAACATTCGCCAAGTCCGACAACAACTTCGTATAGTTGTTCACATGAGCCGCAAGCGAGGTGCCTCTGGACATCTGGAATCTGAATAACCTACGCAGCAAGTGCAATCGGTTCTCAACACTCTTCGTAAGGTACTTATTGTTGAGAATTTCCCACATCTTCATCGCAGACGTCACCCCAATCACATCATACTTCAGCTCCTGTTCCAAACAGGACCTGATCACCCCACAAGCGTTCCTATTCATTTTCTCCCATACCGCCTCTTCATATTTAGGTGGCCTCTCGTGGACCATGATGGTCTCTTCCAAATTCTGAGCATTGAGCGCATCTTGTACGTCGCTCATCCACAAACCAAAGTTGATTTTGCCGTCATACTTCACCACACTAATTTTAGTGTTCTGAAAACCAATTTGTATTGTACTCGCCATCGATTTGCTGCTTTCACATTCTTCTCCCATTGCAAACTAACTCCAAATTATAGAGAAAAAACAAATTTGATAGAAATTAGGAACCACCCAACTGAATCCTAGATCGGATTCCAAATAGATCTCCTATCCACACGAGAAAAGCGAAATCTCCAACGGCAACTCCTAATGCTATCTCCACCGAAGCCTAGAACTTCAAGAATCAAGCTTCACACAAAATCTTCCTCCACCAAATCCAAAACACCCTAGATCTGAAATCTGGGCTCTGATACCACTTGTTGCGCGCAGCGGAAATTTCGGCAGCACTTCGACAGCACAACAAGAGAGTCAGGTCGCAATAAAAATTCCCGTCTCACCAAGGAGACAAGAATCTGAAGCGGATATCTCAACAAAGTGAGATATCGGCTCTTCCTCTCATCAGTTTTAGGACTGACCTGTCGAGGGATCCTAAAAGCTATTACAAATCACACAAAAGTAGTACAACCAATTTTTACGTGGTTCGGCAAATTGCCTACGTCCACGAGGCAAGGAAGGGGGAGATCCACTAATAGAGGGAGAGAATACAACTAGGGTTTACAATCACTCACAATCTAAACCCTCAAACAAACTCTCAAATCCCTCACAAATATCTCTCTACAAAAGATGCACAAAAGCCTTGCACACCCACTGCTTCTCCTCTGTGTTCTTCACCTGCAGCCGCAAAAAAAAAATCCTACACGAAACCCTCTCTGCTTTTTCTCCGCAGCCGAAACAAATTAAAATCTTCGCTCTGCCGAGAAGAACACCCGCAGCGAACAAAAAACCCAATCCTTGCGTTCAAAATCAGCCACCAAAAAGAACCACTGTAGCCGAAACAAATCTTCTGCACTTGCACTTGGTCCGCAGCCACACAAAACCTCCACGCTCCAGTTGCTTTTCCCAGCCGCAAAAGGAACTATAAATAAACTTACCCAAACTCCTCCTTACTCTGAAACTGTTTCATTTTGATAATCTGCCTATTTTAAATAACTCTTTTAAACAAAGTGCCCACAATTAATTTGTTGTTAAACTGTTCTCTTTCTCATTTAATTTATCATGTTTTTGAATAAATTTTGAATAAATTTAGTGCATCCCATGATGGTAGTAATTATGAAAATACTTCTAAATGTAAAAAAAAAAAACCCAACACCAATAGTTTATGGCCATACATTCACTTCTATTGTGCACCGAGAGAACCGTGAGTTACTGGGATGCAAAAAAAAAATTACTAAAAGCAGTATAAAAAAAGTTACTAACCGTGGGATAATAAAAATTGTTCATAGAGCCCCCAAAATAGCATCTTCTACCAACTGAGGATTGACCTACAATAAAAGATTTTAGTGGGAATCAGCCTTAAGACCAAAATACGATGCAGTACTTTCTAACAATTTTGATTGAAGAAGCTTGAAATTATAGACTAAAGTGTCAAAAATTACCTTTAATTGGCTCGTTTG